CAAAGAGCGAAAGGTAGTGAAACTTCCTGTGCTTGGCTGGGCTTTGGTCAACTTTGATAGCAAAGCCAGTTGCTGTAGGTGCCCAGGGAGCTTCGTGCTGATCACTCAGTTCAACCTTCCTGTTAAATCCGCCCTTTTATGATCATTCTTTCAACTGTGTCTACATCTAAACAACACCCTGACTACATAATCATTACTAATAAAAGCCAAACACCTCCAAGTGTCTCGGTGGAGCTCAGGGTTGTTGCCTTCTTGCAGTAATGCTGTTGCTGGAGGCTACTTAGTTTGCACTACTTTGCCATCACTATGGGCCCAAGGGGCCTCAGGATCTCAGCCCCTCTGTCCCATCCCTGCAGGAGGATCGAGGACTGCCTGCCACCTCTGGAGAGCTCCCCATCCAAGCGCTTCTCCCCCTCCAAGCGGAAGCAGTACTACATCAACAAGGCCATCCGCAACTCTGACCTCATCCCTAAAGCCAAGGGGCGCAAGAGCCTGCAGAGGCTGGAGAACAGTAAGGCTTGGGTGGCTGCAGTCCACCCCCAATTCCCTACACTGCCTGCAGTGAGGGCTTCTGTGAGGACCCTGCCCCCAGACTCAGGGGCTTTGCTGTTGCTTTCCTCCCCAGCTCGCTACTTGATGTCACTCTTGGAGCGAGATGAATGTGGCAGCAGTGAGGCTGAGCTCGCCCACTCTGCCACCCCGAGCATCTTCACCGAGGCCTGCAACAATGAGACCTATGTGGAGGTAGGATCTGGCTGCTTGTTTTGCTGCCATTCAGTGCGTGGAGTGCTTGTACCTTGCTGCCCCAGACAGAGGGGCTGCCTGCATTTCCCTCAGAGTCCATATAAGGGCCTGGCTTGGCAGTAGGTGCTGTGCTTTGACTGGTTTGGGGTCTGCTGCTGTTCTTGTTGTACTTGAAGTGCTGTTGGGAGCTCTTTGCGTAGCTTTGGGCAAGCTGCAGAGGGTAATCTTGAGTGAGATGCAGCACTTCCTCCACACCAGGCCTCTTGCCAAACACCTTGGTTGCTCCATACAGCCCGGGTGGTGTTGCTGTACCTCCTCCATGACCTCGTCTTCTGGCACCTCTCCTGTGTTAGATGTTCACAGCTCTGGCTGCAGGGCTATACGTGTGGTCTCTGTGCACTCTGGGTGCTGTGAAGCTCTTCCGCTCTTACTCAATCCAGCCTTGGAAAGCTTGATGTCTGTCTGGCTGGATTGTGTGGATGGATGGAGGTGTCATCACTTGGACTCCCTGCAGAAAGCCACCTTCTTCTTGGCTCTGAGTGCCAAACATCCATCTCCTCGAGGCAGAGGCTTGGGCATACCAGGAAGCATACCTGTGATGTCTGCATTGGGGCTTCATGCTTGTGTTGTCAGATCTGGAATGACTTCATGAACCGGTCAGGAGAAGAGCAAGAGCGTGTCCTGCTTTACCTGGAGGAGGAGGCTGGGAAGAAGCACAAGAGGAAGCTGCCCTTGAAAAACAAAGAGAAGTGGAAAGGTGCTGGGAGGGGAAGCCGGGTGGGGAGAGCCTCTCCTTTCCCTCCTTTACATGCACTTTGGGAAGGCTGCTTTTTCCTGAGGTGCTCCCTGCACCATCCAGTCATGGCAGGGCAGGGGTGCGACAGTGCCTGAAGGGATTGGAGGCCCCACAAAACCCCATCATGAACTTGAGTGGGAGTTTATGTGGGCCAGCTGTGGCTGCGGTAGCTGGCTGGGGTCCTGGGGGCTCATTGAGCACCTAAGTGAGATGAAGCCACGGGGCTGCAGACCCCATTTAAACCCCTTCTTTTCTTCCCTCTGCTGGCTGCAGAGCACCCTGCCTACACACCCAAGGAGTGCTTCCAGCGCATCAGCCGCCGCCTGCGCTCCACCCTGAAGCGTGGCAGGATCCCTATGGTGAGCTGGGGACACGAGGGGTGGGGGCAGGGCTTTGGGGTGTGTTTCGATGCTGTTCCTGAGCTGCCAGCAGGTGCTGAGCTCCTGGGAATGCACACCTGCTCTTAGGTGACCTCTGGAGCAGCGGCTTGCTGACAGCAGATGTTCAGCTCCCCATGCAGACAGGTTTTCATGGGTTAGCTGAGGTCTTCTGGGACTTGCAGGTTGTTTTTTTTTACCTGCTTGTTTCCCTGCCTCAGTTCAGTAAGTGGAAGCCAAGCATGCTTGCCAACTGCAGCAACAGTCCAACCTTTGGGGTCTTCAGACTTGTCTGTACAGAGATACTTTCAAAAACTTAATTGCCTTTTGAAAGGGGTCAAACTGCACAATGTGGTGAGCAGGCAAACCCGTGCTGCAACACGGTGGCCTTGTGCCCAGGGTGCCTGGCTCCCTGCTCTATTCTCAGTGGTGCTGTTTTCCTGCTGTTTGTTTTCCCTACTCTAATTAGAGCTCTGTCTCTAAAAGCAGCCTGGGCTCCTCCTGCCTCTTGGCTTCTTCTCAATTTGCTCTCAACTGAGGCTGCTGCTTGTCCCTGGGGTCGCAGTGCTCTGGAGAGCTGCACTCCAGCTGAACTTTGGCTGTCAGGAGAGGAGGAGATGGAAGGCTCAAGGCTCTTCTGGCTATTGCCACTTCACTCGTGAGGAACGATGCCAGCATTTGGCACGCAAAGTGTGGAGCTGGCAGGGCTGGATTCCTTTCTGCTCTGGGCCTCACTGCCACGTGCCTCCCTGCTGTCCTGCATCTCCTGCTGTGCTTTGAGCTGCGTGGATGTAGCAGAGGATGGGGAAAGCCAAGTATTTGCTGGCGGGGCTGCATTTCTTCAATGGCAAAGTCCTCTGGCTGTGGGGTGTGGAGCTACCTGGTGAATGGCAGCTTGGGCATGGCACACCATCTCCCCTTAATGGGATTTGCCCTCTCCTCACTGATTCCTTTGCTGTTCCTTGCAGGGGATGCTGGAGTGCTTGGAGGAGGAGCTGCTGACCTTCTTTTCTGTCACTCCACACTCTGTGTACACGGCACTGATGGACAACAGGTACCCCTGTCGTGGGTGCACAAGGGGAGGCTGAGCCCAGAGCTCCTGGCTCCCTGTGCTCCCGCTCTGATCCTTGGGCTCCCTGGCACAGCTCAGGGAAGGGCAGTGCTGGTGTGAAGCACATCAGCTCTAACCCAGTCCCCTGCCTTCCCCCAGCTTTGAGCGACTCCTGCTCCACGCACTCTGCCAGTACATGGACCTCGTCTCTGCCAGTAAGAGCCTCATGTTTGTTTTTGTTTCTTGTCTTTCCTTTTTGTCACTATCTCCCCTCTCCAGCCCAGCTTCTTCCTCCCTGCCTCCCCTGGCCCCACCTCTCGCTGCAGCTTGCAGATAACCATACTCTGCTGCTCCCCTGCACCAGGCTGCACCATAGCCTGACCATAGCCAGAGCAGCCCTACCTCATGATGCCACATGCAGCAGTGCTTAGGCTTCCCCTCTTGTTTCTGGGCTTGGGTAGCTCAAAGCAGATCTCTGTGCTCACCCCCACTCACTGCCTCCCCCTGCCGAGCCTGGTTGTGGGTTTCTCAGTAGGTGTCATTGCCACAGCAGGGGAGGGAAGCTCTACACTGTGTCTTTGTGGCTCCTTGTTCAAAACAGCATGAGAGCCCTGATGATATGAAGCAGAGGAGGTGCCTGTGGAGGGGACTGGAGGTGGCAGCTCCTTTGCAGGGCATAAAACAGAACCGCAGGAACCCAGCACGCTGCTGGGAGGGGCTGGGCTGTGGGTTGCAGCACTGTGTTAACTCTTCCGTCTTGCCCCCAGGTTCGGATATCGAAGGGAAACGCCAAATGAAAGTGAGCAACAAGCACCACGTCTTCCTGCCCCCAGAGCTGCTGCTTTCGGACTACCTGGAGCAGCTCAGCTGACAGCGAGGGGCTGCCCTGCCCCATGCTCAGCACGCTGAAGGCTTTGCTTGCCCACTGATGGCCTCCGTGGGCCTCGTTCCTTGTGACCTGCACGTGGGGCTCATCCCTTCCCCACTGAGTGGGCTGAGCCTCCCCGTAGGCGCTGCAGTGTGTTGTGGGGCTGCAGATGGGCCGCGGCAGGAGCCACGCGTCCTGGCCCTGTCCATGATGTGCCCACAGCCCGTGTGCTTTTAATGATGCCAGGCCCGTGGCATGCTGCTGGGCTGGATGCTTCTGGGCTCAGCCAGCGGAAGCGCTTGGGGCCTGTGTGGCAGCCCTGTCTGTGTTCTGACACCTCCATGCCAACAGGCGCAGCCCTCAGGCACCCCTGGAGCTGGCTGGCTGGCCGCAGCATGGAGCAGGGCTGTTTTTAAATGTATCATAGCTGTCTTTTTATGTGTATATTTGTACGTGTGGGGGCGGGAAGGGGAAGGGAGAAGTGCTGGCCCCAGGTACGCGCTCTGTGCAGCCACCTGCAGCAGGCTGGGGCATGAACAAGGGTGGTGCCTCGTGTTTGTGTGTGTGCGTCAGAAACGGGCGGCATTCGTGCCGGGACAATAAAAGTGTGGTGCTCCAATGATCTGTGGTGTTTCGGGGCTGGGGGAGGGAGGGGTTGGAACTGTGGGGCCAGGGTGGGGCTGGGGCGTGGTGCTGAGCCAAAAGGGACAAGGCTGTGTGATCCTCTGTAGGGAAAGAAAAAAAAAAAAAATATGGAACGCTTCACGAATTTGCGTGTCATCCTTGCGCAGGGGCCATGCTAATCTTCTCTGTATCGTTCCAATTTTAGTATATGTGCTGCCGAAGCGAGCACGACTCCAGAGCCCTCCGCGGCGATATATAAAGCCCAGTATAACAATCATTTTTAGAATAGAGTGATTTTCTCATTTACTTCCTAAAAAGCCTCTACTTTATAATGCACGTATAGACTGTAATTACCCCAATTCTTAACGTTTTTCACCGCAATATTTCCATATTCAAGCCTTATTTTAACATTCTCCGCACCATAGGGCTTCTGGGTAGTTCTTTATGCAAATTACCAACCGGCACTGAGGACCTCTGCCTGGGCTGTCCTCGGCAGTGCCTGAAAGAACGCGGCGCGGCGCGGGCAGCTTGCGGGGTCCTGGCACTGCGGCGCATGCGTGGTGCCGCTCTAGGTGGCATCCTTTCCACCCCCTCCCCCTTCCCCAAACTACCGGGTCGTTTCTTATCGCTTCGGGAGCAGCGATGGATTTGGCGTACGTGTGCGAATGGGAGAAGCGGCCGAAGAGCGACCACTGCCCGTCCATCCCTTTGGTGTGCGCCTGGTCCTGCCGCAACCTTATCGCCTTTACCACCGACCTGCGGAACGAGGAGGAGCGCGGTGCGGACTCCCCCCCCCACCTCCCCATAAACCCTCCAACCCCCCCCCCTCCCCAGCCCCGCCGTGCTCTCGGGGTCCCTCGGCCATTCCAGCAGTGCCAGCAGACCCCGTTCCCTGCTGCAGGCCGGTAATGATTTGGGGGGGTTTCGTTTCTGGCTTCGCGCAGATCTCACCCACATGGTTCACATCATCGACACGGAGCATCCCTGGGACGTCCATTCCGTCAACTCTGGCCACGTGGAAGCCATCACCTGCTTGGAATGGGATCAGTCGGGTGAGCTCGAGGCCTTCTCAGCGTTCACAGAATCACAGAACAGGTTTGGGTTGGAAGGGGCCTTTAAGGTCACCTCGTTCCAACCCCCTGCTGTAGGCAGGGACACCTCCCATAGCCAGGGTTGCTCACAGCCCCATCCAGCCTGGCCTTGAATGCTTCCAGGGAGGGGCATCCGCAGCCAGGCTGAGCATGCAGTGTCTCACCGCCCTTATAGTAAAGCGTTTCTCCCCGATAGCCAGTTTGAATCGACCTTCTTCCAGTTTAAAACCATTTCCTCTTGTCCTATTGCTACCTGCTCTTATAAAAAGCTCCTCCCCAGCTTTCCTGTAGGAAAACCAATCCTACTTCAGGCCGCTTTCCATAGCAGTGCTGTGCCACTCAATGTAATTTGGCATTGCTTCACAGCTGCAAAGTGCTGGGCTCTGTCAGAGCTGCACAGGAATGGCTTGGTTCCTCACCTGGCAATTGGCAGCACCCAGGGTTCTTACAGGGCTGTGTCTCTGCAGGCTCCAGGCTGCTCTCAGCGGATGCAGACGGCCACATCAAGTGCTGGAGCATGACCGACCACCTGGCCAACAGCTGGGAGAACACCGTGGGCAGCATGGTGGAGGGAGATCCCGTGGTGGCCCTATCCTGGCTGCACAATGGTGTAAAGCTGGCACTGCATGTGGAGAAGGTTTGTCAAGGGCTGGTTTGGGTCATTAGTGGGGGAGCTAGGAAACTCCTCTGCGTGTTTCTGCTCTGCCATGGGTTTCTTCCGTGGTGCTGGGAATGTCAGACAGGGGAATCTTTCAAGTTAAATGTTTCCTAGCTCCTGCTGAGAAATGCAGGTGGGGTGCCTTGTTTCTCTCAGTGCTTTAAGCTTGTCTTAGTCAGCCTGTTTCAATCTCCATGGCTGTAAAATGGAGATAAAAGCACGTGCTGGCCTACCAGGGGTACCTCAGCTGAAATGCAGTTGAGGTGAGGAGGTTTGTTGCAGGGATTTGGTAACGTGAGCCAAACATGTAGAGAGGCCAGCTGTTTGTTTTGAAGCACGTCTAATTCTGATTCAGAAAAAGAGGAAGTCTGTCAAGTGCAAATCAACATCCTGCATTCTCAAATGTTAAATCTAGCACAGGAACACAACGGGGCTGTGCGCTGTGTTGGGCAGCAGCTGGCACTGCTTATAACTTGGGGGGAAGCCTTCCCCACCATCACATCTCAGAGCTGGGTGTATGAGCTCGATGCCTGGACTCCGTTTAGCTCTGCTGACCTTGCTGCAGTGACTCAGGGGAGCAAAACTCTGCGGCTCTGGGTGCTCTGCAGGCATCAGATGCTGACATCTTTGCGTTGCCAATCTTTATTCGCAGTCGGGAGCATCCAACTTCGGGGAGAAGTTTTCCAGGGTCAAATTCTCTCCGTCGCTGACGTTGTTTGGTGGGAAGCCTATGGAAGGCTGGATTGCTGTGACCATCAGTGGGCTGGTGACTGTCTCCCTCCTCAAGCCCAACGGGCAGGTGCTGACATCCACAGAAAGCCTTTGCCGCCTCCGTTGCCGCGTTGCCTTGGCGGATGTCGCCTTCACTGGTGGGGGGAACATCGTGGTGGCCACTTCAGATGGCAGCAGTGCCTCCCCCGTCCAGTTCTACAAAGTCTGCGTGAGCGTGGTGAATGAGAAATGCAAGATAGACACTGAAATCCTGCCTTCCCTCTTCATGCGCTGCACCACCGACCCTGCCCGCAAGGACAAGTACCCAGCAATCACTCACCTGAAATTCCTTGCTCGGGATATGTCAGAACAGGTGAGCATCTGCTGTTGAAAGAAGCAGGAGTTCAGGGGGTAACAAAGGAGGCAGCAGTTTGTTCCTCCCGTGGCTTCATCTCAAAGCTGTGGGACGGGGAGCAATCGCGTCCTGCTGTGATTCTCTGCTGTTTTTGTCTTGTTCAGCTTCATTCAAGCAGGTTGCACTCGATAGGTCTGGGCCTCCACTTCCTGGAAAAGCAGTCTGAAAAGCCCCATTCTTCATTAACCTGATGATGTGTTGTCTTTATTTTATCACTCTGCCATTGGGTATAGTGAGTTTTCTGCTGGACAATCCGGAGAGGTTCTGAGATATGAAGTCTTTCATCTTTGCATCTCGACTTCAAAGCAGTCCCTCTCCAGAACACTTGGAGCTCTTGATCCATGTGACTTCATTTAGCAGCTTAACTCTATTTGCCAGGGTAATATGACTGTGGAAATCAAAGTGGTTCAATGAAGCTGAAAAGCTCTTCTCTGTCCTGTTCCCTGTGGTCAGGATTGAGTGTGCCGTGTTGGAGAACACAGCGTCTGTTTTGGCTTCAAAGCCAGTTCTGTTCCTTTGCCCGTTTAGTCTGTGATGTATGGGGCAGCACTGGCAGGTTACAGATTTGTGAGAGATGGGATCATCAGTGATATGAAGAAGCACAGGCTGTGATAACACTGCACAGTTCTGCCTTTCTTTCATTCTAGCTGGAGCTGGAGCCTTCACCATTCTGTGTTGCTGATACAATCCTTTGCTTTTCATTAGTGGTGTGCGGGCTAATTAGGAAAAAGAGCCTCAGAGCAGAGTGGGAGAGGGGCTGAAAATGCTCCTGGGTAATGTGGTTCCCCACTGTGAATGCTGTGCCTACAAACAGTGTGGCTTTCCCTTCTGCAGGTGTTGCTTTGTGCTTCCAACCAGAACAACAGCATTGTGGAGTGCTGGTCTCTGCGGAAAGAGGGCTTGCCTGTCAACAACATCTTCCAGCAGATCTCTCCTGTGGGTGAGTTCCAGCACCAAGAACTTGGGAACAGGAGTGTCTGGTCTTGAGGAGCTCTGAATGGCTGTGATAAGGCAGGGACTCCAATCCATTATCACATATTTATTTGTATTTCAGGTGTTCTTGGCCTCACGCTCTGTTCCATCCATTTGTTTGCATCTTAGGTGACAAATTGATGGTTTCTAGGAAGTGGTTTGTAGTTGTTACTTTCACTCAATAAAAGACATTTTCTGTTTTGCTGTGCAGCCACTCTTCCTGCTGAGAGCAGAGCAAGCTGAGCCTTCTAAAGGAAAAAATGGTGCAGTGTGCAAGTAGCTTCATTGAGCTGCCCTGCCTGCACATCCCTTCCACTCGATTTCAAACATAACAGCATCAAATCCGTGCTGTTTGCTCTGCTGGAATGCAAAGGGTTGTTTAACATAAAGAGTTGCCAGCAGAGCCTCCCATCAAATCTGATACAGCGAAACAAGTCGTCGTTGGTGTGGTTACTGAGCTCAGAAGAACGTGGGGGAGATGCAGGGGGCAGAAGTCAGGCAGGGGTGCTGTTTTCTGAGCCCTTTGGACTGAGGTGTCTCGCTTTGTTTTTCCAAGTTGGAGACAAACAACCCATGATCCTGAAATGGCGAATTCTTTCTGCCACCAATGATCTGGATCGTGTCTCAGCTGTGGCTCTGCCCAAGTTGCCCATCTCCCTCACAAACACTGATCTGAAGGTGGCAAACGACACCAAATTCTTCCCTGGACTGGGTAAGGAGTCTCTGTTTTCTTTCTCCTAAATATATGATTTCTGCCTGAAACTTTCCCTCGTCTTCTGAATTGTAGCTGAAGGAAGAATTCAGAGCAACACATAGGAGAGATTGATACAGAAACTTTCCAAGGCACTTCTGAAACGCTGGTGTGGCTTCGAGGCCTGAACGTGCCTGCAAGCCCACAGCCTTTGGGTGCTGTGTTGTTGCCACATGTGCTTTCAGTGGCTGTTTTGCTGGGTGAGGTCAGGGTTATACCAGAGTTTGCTCGCTCAGCTTTGGTTATCATCTCTCCCCAGGTCTGGCCTTGGCTTTTCACGATGGCAGCGTCCACATCGTTCATCGCCTGTCCCTGCAAATGATGGCTGTCTTCCATGGCTCTTCTTCCCAGCGCCCAGTGGATGAGCAGACGATCAAAAGGCAGAGAACTGCTGGCCCCCTGGTTCACTTCAAAGCCATGCAGCTCTCCTGGACATCTCTGGCCTTGGCTGGCATTGATAGCCATGGGAAGGTAGTGTGTTCTGCTATGTGGGCTGCTCTCCTGGGATCTCTCTCTTTATCTCTCTAAATGGTGATGGATCATTCTGGAAAGCTCTGGGAATGCCGTGTGATCCGTGTTAAACAGGGTGTGATGCATCCCTTTACTGCAGGCTTTGTATCTTCAGGCCAACAATGAGCTGCAGGTCACCCTGTGTTATGCAGCAGCTTTTGTGGAGGGCTTTCGAGCCAGTTCTTGATAGGAATTTTCCTTTGCCTCCTCCATTCAGCTGAGCATGCTTCGTATCTCCCCCTCCATGGGCCACGTGCTGGACATGAACACCTCCCTCCGCCACTTGCTGTTCCTGTTGGAGTACTGCATGGTGACTGGCTACGACTGGTGGGACATCCTGCTCCACGTCCAGCCCAACATGGTCCAAAACCTGGTGGAGAAGCTGCATGAAGAATACACACGGCAGAGTGCAGCCCTGCAGCAGGTCAGCAAGAGTGGAATCTCCCTGGTTTACAGCAGAGGGAGCGGGCACAGGGTGAGGTCTCAGCAGCAGGGCTGCAGCAGCCTGCCTGCGCTGTCTTTGAATGCTCTGCTTGAGCAGTGCTCGAGGTGTGAAGAGCCATTTGTTGTCACCCATCTCTACCTGTTGGGAAGTTCTGGTGAGATGTTAGAGCCCGTTCTTGGCAGAGGTCGTGTCAGAGCACTGGGAGCAATAGGGCTGTTTGCACACACATGAAACAGCCCTCCCTGTTCCAGCTGTTCACACAGCAGCGATGCAGAACAGAGGATAAAGCAGTTTATGAGCTGATCTTCTTTGTGCCTTCACTCCTGAATGTTTTCTCATGCCTCTGTCCCTCAGGTTCTTGCCACACGCATAGTTGCCATGAAAGCATCTCTTTGCAAGCTCTCCTCCAGCACGATTGCCCGTGTTTGTGACTACCATGCCAAGCTGTTCCTGATTGCCATCAGCTGCACCCTGAAGTCGCTGCTGCGCCCACACTTCCTCAACACCCCAGATAAGAGTCCTGGGGACCGGCTCACAGAGATCTGCTCCAAGATCACAGATATAGGTGGGCATTGCTGGTGCACAGCTCTCTGGATGTCCTGCATCAGCTCCTTTTAGACTCGGTGTGAAATGTCATAAGATCGTAGTTGCTTCCTGGGTTTGAGGAAGAGGGAAGTGAGGGTGGAGCGTGGGTGCATCTCCTGATTGAACCACATGTTCTGCTTCTGTTTCAGACATTGACAAGGTGATGATCAACTTAAAGACGGAGGAGTTTGTCCTGGAGATGAACACACTGCAATCTCTGCAGCAACTCATCCAGTGGGTGGGGGATTTTGTGCTCTATCTACTGGCCAGCCTGCCTAACCAGGTGAGAGAGCCTGGGCTTCCAACAACAGTCCTTTATGAACCTCTTACACCTCTAAGCTCCGTGGCATCCTCTACCAGCCTGTCTACTGTCCTGTAAATGGAACAACAGCTCCAGCAGGCTGAATTTAAGCCCCAAGCCCAAAATGTTTCTCCTCTTTGCAGGGCTCTCCTGTGAGGCCAGGCCACAGCTTCCTGCGAGATGGGCCATCCCTGGGCATGTTCAGGGAGCTGATGGTGGTGATTCGTATATGGGGGCTGCTGAAACCAAGCTGCCTCCCCGTCTACACAGCAACCTCTGACACTCAGGACAGCATGTCCCTCCTCTTCAGGCTTCTAACTAAACTCTGGCTGTGCTGTAAGTGTTTGCCAGTTTCCTCAAACAAAAGGATCTTGCCTGCTTTGGATTGTGCATGCTAGAAGTAATTGCAGGGAATAACTCTTGAGTGGGTCTGTAGAGTTTAGAAAGGGCAAGTGCAGCTGCCAGCTTTATTGTTCCCTGTGCTGTGTTGGCGGATGGAGGAGGAAACTGCATCCACTTCTCTCAGTCTGTAAATGAGAGGTGTAAAGATCACGCTGGTTTTTCTCTCTTTCTGCTTCATTTTCCACGCAGGTCGTGAGGAAAATCACATCACAGAGCCAGATGATACCCTGATAGATGAGTGTTGCCTCCTGCCCAGCCAGTTGCTCATTCCCAATATTGATTGGTTGCCTATCAACGATGGCATTATCAGCAAGCTGCAAAACAAACAGCTTGTCAGGCTGCAGTTTGGAAAAGCTCCTGGGCTCATCGGTCACACTGTCTCTTCCCAGTTTGATGCCTTTGTAAGGTACAAAGACGTGAAACAAAGAGGTTGAGATCTCTCCAGCCCTGGGGGGTCGTTGGGTCTGGGATGCCTGTGTCACAAGTGGGTTTGTTCTCTTTGCTCCCAGTCATTAGCGAGTTAAAGAACTGAAATGAGATGGCAGGAGGAGGGGGGGGGGAAAGTGCTCATTTGTGTTCAGATTGATGTCAGCACGCCTTTGAATCCGGTGGCATTTTACAGAGTCTGTAGTCATAGCCTGGGCCCCACTGGCCATTGAAATGCAGCTCACTGTCCTGGCAACAGCTTGTAGAAAATGATAGCCTAGAAACCATCCGGTTCTTCTTCCTGCACAGGGCTCCTGGTCAGCCCAAAATCGATCATCTGAGAAGGCTTCATTTAGGAGCATTCCCAACAGAGGAATGCAAGTCGTGCACCAGGTAAGTGATGCAGACGAATCCCTTCCATGCAGAGGGAGGTCTTGGCAGAAACTCAAACTGTCTTTTGTCATTCAAAAGCTCCCTTGGTCTCTGTTTACCATCCCAGCTGGTATCCCAGTAACTTCTCCTGTGATTTACGCCTGCAGGAGGAAATGCTGCTTCTAAATTAAGGCCTCTTCGTTTATGGCACTTTGCATTTAAGGAAAGCATTTGTGGGTATGTTGAAGATATCCCTGATGTGGGAGAGGAAGATCCTTAAATGCTCGTTGGAAAGCAGCAGGGCTGACTCAGGATAGCTGCTACTATCATTGCAAGTGCAGCTGTTAAATTTAAGCCTCCCTGCCTTGCAGAGTAACCACAGCTCTTTGAGAATTAACTTTCTTCCTCACCGTCAGTTGAAGTAGTTCTTATCTAAGGGCTGAATGCTGCAACGTGGGATAAATGTGGTCTTGCTTTAACAGAGAAATGTGAGGGTGATCGGATGACAAAGGTCAACAGAGACCAGAATTTGCCTGGAGGGTCTTTATTGGAGATGAGATCCCTGGCTCAGCCTGCAGGCTCCCCTGTTCTTGAGGAGGAGGCAGTGAGTGCAAATAATGGCAGCACCCACGCTGCTGGTTTTGGGTGATCTTTCAAACTTCGGTTTGCTTTTGGACTTCTTTTGTGCTGCCCCTTCACCAAAGAGCCATCGACCCATTGTGAGATGGAATTAGCTCTAATTATGAGCTTTAATAGGAAGTCTCTGTAGCAGATCATTTATACAAGACTGAGTGTCTGCTGTTTAAATAACAGCTGGGGGCTGTTGTGTGAAGACATCCCTCTGTTCCAAGATGTTTCAGTGCTCAAAAACATCACCTGCAAATGGCAGGAGATGATTTCCTCCTCATTCCCTGCTCACTGAGTGACCAGAAGTGCCAGCATTGCTGGTTTAATTCCTGACCTTCCCATCTTTGTGCCAGGCTTTACCTCTCTTCTGCTTTCTTCCTTTCCAGGTGTGGCTGCGTCACGATGCTGAAATCTCCAAACAAAGTCACTGCTGTGAAGCAGTGGGAGCAACGCTGGGTCAAAAACTGCCTGTGTGGGGGGCTGTGGAGGAGGATGCCCCTCAGCTATTCCTGAGAGCAGCTCCCTGGGGCACAGAGAGAGCAATGGGTGCCGGGTGGAAGAGCTGGAGGCGCTTTGGGAGCGAGGAGCTGCAGCCCTTGTGAGGCAGCACCCAGCGGTTGGCTGGGAGCACTGATATGTTCTTCTTCCAGCTGCAACACTTGAAGCCCTAAAAAGAAAAGAGGGGAGGAAGGAAAGGGACTTTTGTGGGGCTCCTTTTTAGGCTTTACTCTGTAAAGTTTTCCCATTGCCACCAAAAGCAATGACAGCTGGAAGCCAAGGGCCAGGGAGGGGGGGGAAAACCTGCTGCCCTCGTTGTGTCTGTGGGCTGACCAAGCAGGACTGAGCCCTGCAGGCAGGCGTGAGTGGTGATGAGGGGCTCTGGGGGTCCACAGAGAATCTCCAAGGAGAGAGGAGCAAATATTTGGTTCCTTGTGTTCCTCCTTTGCTGTGAGCTGCTTGGGAAGCGTGGCAAGGGTTGGTCAGTTCCTGTTTCCTTCTGCATCTCGGTGCTTTGAGTGAACTTCATCACTGTGTTTATCTGTGTTCTGATGGATGCAGGAGCAGGAACATGAGGTTTGCTGCCTGGAGCAAACCCAGCCAAGTAACTGAGCTCTTTTGTAAATAAAAGTTCCCTTGATTTCGGACAGAATGTTTGGTTTGTTTGCAGAACTTCAGCCCCCTTTCATGTGACTTCGGTTGTGCTGTGAGCCCAGGGCTGCTGATGCATCGACACAAGAGAAGCAGGAAAGTGGTGTGAATTGCACCTCTGTTAGGAAAGGAGCTGCAAGCGTTTGCCAAATGGAATGGTTTTCAACTTTCCATCAGATTATTAGGGGCAGGAGAGGAGAAAACTTGGGGTAATGAAGAATGCTGTAAGTCTGCAGCTTCAGACAAAGCTGCGTGCTGCAGTGTGCTGGAGGAAGAGCTTTCCTAGCATGCAACTCAGCCCGAAATCTGAGTGTTTTCAGCTGCTCTGTGAGGGTGGTTGGAGCCAATCTGGGGCTTGGCTGAATTCCTGCTCAGCTGGATTTACCTCTGGGTGTCCTCTGAGAGCATTTAAGGGGAGGACGATGCCATTTTTTTAATATTCACATCCCTCTGGGAGTGAGTTTTCATTTATTAGTGAAAAATTGAGCTGGTGGGGAAGAGCTCAGCCCTCAGCTCTGCTGCTTTTCTGCAGAGCTGGTCTGTGCCTCGCTATTCTTCTGCTAATTAAGGACAGTCAGATGGCTAATTAGGAAACTACGACTCCTCGTCGAGGCGATTTTTCCCTGTAAGTAAAACTCATCAACGTGGGCCCTTGCTCTTCTCCTTTCTCTAGAGGGGCACTTTGGGGTTATTTAACATCTGTGGCACACAGAGGAGAGAGCAGTGCTCTGTTCCTGGGCAGCATCCCACCTTGC